ATTATTTTCATTTATATTATCTAGATTTGATTTCATTCAATATTATTGAATCAAATTCAAATTCATTCATAATATAAATTCAAATAATAGAAAATCCAAATAATGATATGTGAGATTACTTTTATTACTTTGCCTTAGAATTTTATCTGTTAGAAAAAAATTATTTGAAAAATTGTAATGTAAATTTTCTAAAATATTAAATTTGTATCTATAAAATATTATATATTACATATCAAAATTAATATTTAGACATTAAAAATAAAATATTGAAATATTAACGTTATAACATTATATTATATTAACATTATAAACAAACAATTAAACAAAAAATTAAATTAATGAAAAACAAAAATATGCGTGATAAAGTTTTATTAAGTTTGTTTTCTATATTATAGCTGAACTAGTATACACTTTTGAAACTTAAAATAAAATAGATACATGTTTGGTATTTAATGAAAGCGAGAAAGGAAATGTAGTCTAATAGGAATAAAAAACAGATCTATTGATTAAGTATATGATTATGATAATATATAGATTTTCTTGATTATTGTTGGTCGTTCCAAATGTTCTTGCCGTTCGGAATGACTATACGATGAACGTTGACCATGTGCTTCTTCAGCACCCACTTATGTCTAATTTTTGCACCGCATATATAACAACTGTACTGCGGATCTTTTCCGCATTCTTCCCGTTCGTGTCTGACCAATGACTGCATCCATTTGTATTCTTTTCCACATTTCGAACAAAAGTGTCTGCCCAGTCTCTTGTAGTAGTCCGTCATGTTGTACTGCGTTGAGTCTGGAAAAAACAATGAGCGACACGTTAATGCGTTTGTGAATCTGTTGACACATCTGCAGATTCGTCTATGTGGAATAAATAAAATATTTTCTCATTTTAGATAATATATCAATTGATTTATCTCGCTAATCTGATTTATTTGCGATACAAATATTAAATGTCAGACATCGATATTTAAGTGTATCTGTCGTTTTTTTCTTCTAAGGCTGGGTTGTTCTAGCTTTCGATAAACTTCAGCTCACTGTCTTATTCCCTTACTCTCTTATGTTTTACTCTTTTACTTTTTTGTTTATCCAATAATTCAAAATACCACATAGTTCATCTAAAGATGGAACAACCGGCCCTTAGTGTCACAGATAATTTTTTAGATTAAATATATTATCACATTTTAGTTCGTTTTCCCCACACAATTATTGCTGTTATTTCTCCTCAAACCATTAAAATATTCATGTACGTTCGTTTGTATAAAAATTAATTTTATTTAAAAACTTTATTTATTTAAAAAGATAGTTTAAGAATGTCTTTATTTTTTCATAAATATATGACAAAAAATACAGTAAACGAGATTCAAATTGGTAAAATTGTTTCTGTTAAATTATGGAAACAGCAATGTTATTTAAAAAAATGCAGATCAAAAAATGAATCAGTGCTATATCCTTTTTACTGTAATGCTAAAGATATTTAAATTCTACTATTTAAAAAATGTTCCATTATTTTACACAATTGTATGTGTTGTCTTATATAATAATTCATTGTCGCATTGTCTTTTTAATAGCTGTAAAACGATTCTCATAAGATAAACGTTTACAACTTACTTATCGTTAAAATCTATTTTATAATATTACTTATCATAGACTTGTTAGAGTCTATGTTACAATAACTTTTGTACCGTTTGCACAGATTTGTTACAGTCTATATTATAATATTGCTTGTCCACTTTTCTCAATAGATCACACTTAATCTGCACATTCCACATTCATTTCATTATTTTTAATTATATCGCATCCATCTACGTTTCAATCTCTTAAATACTTTCTCGTGAAAATTTGTGAATTCTTTTCATGTCTTATATTTCATTTACATATAATTAGCGATACAGAATACTTACGCGAATAATAACTTTTTTTAATTATAAGTAAACTTTCTTATCATGATAAGTATGTTTTCTGGGACATTTTACAGAAAATATTAAATTATACACAGGTACGAAAAAGCGTGGCTGATAGACAATTACACATTTAATTCCATACGTCATTGTACGTATACTGGCGATAAAGAGATATATTTTTTCATTCATTGCTTCGCGATCTTCTATTTAAATATATTAGTAGTTATGACTTATATTTATAAAAATTATTGCATACTAATATAAATATATTATAGTTTTCCAAAGCTTTGTTGCTGATATTTTAAACTGAAAAACTTTCGCACAGCTTATACAGTTTTAATTTTCCAATAAAAATTTTGTTACTTTCTTATCTGATATATATTAGATTGTCCAGTTCTATTTTCTCTTAAATAAATGATGTATATGTCACAGTCAAAATGTTAATTTTATAGTAAATGTATATAGAGGATGTCCCGTAAAGATCGAAACAACGCTTAAGGGGAGATTCCTGAAATCACATTTTGAGATGAAAATTCTAATATATCAAAATGTCGAAGGAAAATGTTCTTTTTAATATAATAAATATCAATAATTAGAAATATCAGTAACTGTATCTTTGTATCATAATCTTTATATATATTCATAATCTTTATATCAATATTTACAAGAAACATTAATTAGTTTTTATTTTTAGCATTTAGCGTTGTACTCTATATATATATACTCGAATGCGCAAATTTTAGACGGTATTATAATACGTTAACTTTAAATGCTTATAATTCAAAGAACTTTATAACTTGACATTTTGGTATTAAAATTTCTTAAAATAATTGTCTTAAAATAATCTTAGGAATCTCCTCTTAAGCGTTGTTTCGATTTTTACGGGACACTGTGTGTGTGTGTGTGTGTGTGTGTGTGTGTGTGTGTGTGTGTGTGTGTATGTGTACACCAGTTCGAAATAAAGCGTTACAAATTTTTATCTCGGAAACACGGGATTATTGAGAAAAATTGTTCAGACAAAAGTTGTAGAGTTTAAATTGCTATTTAAAATGTTATTTACTGATTTTATCAGTTTGACCTTGGGTAGCGTCGCCAAAGTTAGGTCAAAGTCACATCGATTTTTTAAAATGGAATATTCTACTTTTAATTCCAGAATTTAATAGTTGGTGTCGAGAGTTTTCCAAATACAATAAAGTTATTTTTTATTGAGTATTTTTTGAGTTATAATGTTTGTTACAGTACCACCGGCATTAGCATTATCTAAGGTATTCGATCGATGACTAAAACCTTTTGAATGTTATTCAGGATCATGTCCTGGATAACATTTGTCAAGATTAAGGCCATTGGAGATTATTCTCTTATTTTCATTTTTGCACTAAAAATTCATTTTTATGTAGAAATGAATGAAGATAAGAGGTACAACCCCTAATAACTTTGATAAATGATATTCAGGACATGATCCTGAACAACATTCAAGAGATTTCAGTCGTCGGTCGGACACCTGGTAAAGATCCTAAAAATAGAGATCGGCCAAAGCCGACATGATATTGTGAAACCGGAAATCATTTGGAAATGCGCGCCAATATATCAATGCGAATTTCGATGAGATCGATAGCAAGCTGATATCGCTTCTCTTACTCTCATATTCGCTCTCACTCTCACATTCGGTTTCACACAACATGGCTGAGCCAATCACCGGATCGAGTTGGCATTGATCGATCTCTACTTTTAGGATCTCTAATCTTGGATAATGCTAATGCCGGCTGTATTGTAACTGTCAAGCATCATAACTCAAAAAATATTTAATGAAAAAATATTTTCTTATAGTGTTTTAGAAAGCTCTCGATAACAGCTTAGATTCTGGAAACAAAAATAAGGTATTCCAAAAAAAAAAATCGATGTGATCTTGATCTGACCTTGGCGACGCCACTCAAAGTCAAATTGATAAGATCAGTAAATAGATTTTTTTAAATTCTACAACTTTTGTCTGAACAATTTTTCTCAATATTGCCGTGTTTCCGAGATGAAAATTTGTTTTGAACACTCGATATATGTATAGACAGCCATAAAAAATATTTTCATAAAGTCTCTAGTTAGAATAAGTTTTAAGATTGAACACTATTAAGAAAAGTGTATACTTAATAAAATAAAATTATTATGAAAGAAATTATCAATATATGAACTAATATTATTAACTTCGTTGAACTATGATAAATTTTAAAAGAGATGCTACCACATTTTTTATACACACAGTAAAAATGATACGAATAATTTATTTTATCAAAATATACATTTTCTACATAATATATTTAAAATCACTTTTTATATAAGCAGATTATCATTATTCATTTTACATATAACAATATTTTCTTCAAAGAGCTTAGCATATTTAATAATTTTTAATGAATTAAATTATATACTGTCTTGAGTTTCAATTCGTCTAAATTCAATATTGAAATAAATATCGTATGATGAAAAATGATTAATTAGAAATATTCTTTCGGAATATTCTTGCGAAAAACGCAGTATGGAAAATCTGGAAAATATGTACAAGATAATCTTTGTCTAATACAGAAATCAATCGTTTTTTTACATCTGATTTTATTAATAATTCGCATTTTCTCTCTCTCTCTCTCTCTCTCTCTCCCTGATATTCAAATAATATTAACAATACGACATAATGGGCGGTTTATATCGTTCAGGTTGTAGTAATCGCATTTTTCGAGATATAGACTTGGTTATTTTCAACAACGGATTCGTATAGAGGAACACAAATTTTCCTATTTATGAATATGATTTTCGTGGCGTAGCAAATAATCCTTGCGCCGGAATTTCCTGCCGCAAATCGTGCAAATGTGCTTCGGTAATACGCCGCATCCTTCGCGTAGATGCCTTGTCAAGGAGTCCGTCCACGTATAACGCTTACCGCACTTGTAACATGTGAAAGGCCGGTCATAGTTAACGCGGCAATGTTCTCTCTTGAATTCTGAAACAAGTCGTAAAAAGGTCGACAATGAGATCAATTTCAATGCCCTTTTTAACTTTTGCACTTTACTCACATCGCAATAGATAATACCAATTTATTCGAGCCGTTTTGAATAAAACAAATAATGGCGACAGCCAATTAACAAAAAAAAGCATCAAATTTAGCTTTATTGTATTCTTTTTGTTTTATAATAGACAACACAGACGCGCACTACGCCCGTGCTATTTATTTTTTGATATTATACTTATATAATTATATAAACAACAAGTGTACAAATGTACACAAGTATATATAAATAAATCACGCAATCACGATTTTTATCATTTTGTGAGTTGTTAAAATACGATTCCTGTACTGACAATGTGTACTTTCGCAGTACGAAGTAACCAAAGCAATTAGAAGACCAATCAGTATCAAAAACGGTAACAATAAATTCGATATATGTATGACTTTTAAAAAAAAAAAATATATATATATATATATATATATATATAGAATTTATTTTAAAAAGTATGTGTATGTATGTGTGTGCATGTGTGTGCACGCGCACGCACACGCATTTGTATGTACATATACATATATCATCTATGTATCATCCATAGACATCCATGTAAAATTTTTTTTATTGTCTGTAATTAGGATAAATAAGACTGAAAGGTATTTAAAAAAAGTGTATATTTAATAAGATAAAAATATTGTAAAAAATTATTTTTGAAATATAAATTAATATTATTAACTTCGTTGAACTATGATCAATTTTAAAATGAACGGTGCCATATTTTCTTATATATTAGGTAAAAGTGATTAATATAATTAATTCATTCTATTTTTCAAAATTTATGTATTAAAATTTATGTATTTTCTACATAATATTTATAATCATCTTATTTAAGCAGATTATTATTCAGAACAGTATTTTTTGCAAAGAAATAAACATAATAATTTTCGATGAATTAAACAATAATTTAATATTAATTTTTCATTTTAACTATTTTGTACATATACACATATTAAAAAATAAATGTCATTCGATGAAAGACACAATCATTTAGAAATATTCTTTCGAAACACGAATAATGCGAAGTGTAAATTTTAAAAGTACATACGATATAAAATAATCATTTTTTATCATAAAAATTTTCTATGAATCGTTTTCTTATATCTGAATTTATTAATAATTCGTATGTGTAGACACGAATACACAATTAAAAAAATTGTGTATTTGTGTTGGAAACGGTCCACTCACGTTCTTGTTTGGATTCAATTTTCAACATATTTGAGTGTTAATTTAATATAATTATGCTATTTAATGATTATGCTATTTAAAGATATTTTGTATTAAATTGATATTCAACATTTCTTAAATTATCAAAATGACACAATTTATGAGTAAGTGAACAAATAATGTAAAAATAAAATATTTTTAAACATAAACTCTAAGATAAATAAATAAAATGTGTATTAATTTAATATATCATAAACGTTAATTTTACTAAAAAATATGTTTCCATGATTTATTGACAAATTGCATCAATATTATCTTTTTTTCAGTATTTAATTTTTTACATAATATGTATGTAATATTATAACATATTCATCTTGTGCAAAATTAATCCAAAAATTTGAGTGAACCGTTTGGGATATGCGATTTATGTTAAATTCGACATAATTTCCCAACATTACAGTTAAACAGTGGTGAGCAATTTACATCGTTCAGCAATTATCATCGCAATAATCGCATTCTTCGAGATATAGGCTCAATTATTTTCGATGACGGATTTCATTTCTAAAGAGATGAATTTTTCTAATATTTACACTGTTGGAAAAAATGTGTTGAATTTAACATAAATCGCATGTCCCAAACAGTCTACTTAAATTTTTGAATTAATTTAACAAGTTAAATATGTTAGAAAGTTACACAAATATAATATCAACACAATTTATAAATAAATTGTAGAAGCATATTTTTTAAATTAACTCAAAAATTTAAGTGAACCATTTGGGACATGTGATTTATGTTGAAATTAACACATTTTTCCTCTATATTAAATTAACCACTTTTTATTCTTCATTTTAGAATTTACGTTTTAAAATACTTTATTTTTACATTATTTGTTCACTTACTCATAAATTGTTATTTTGACACTAAAAAATGTCCAATATCAATTTAACACAAAATTTTTAAATAATCACATTATGTTAAATGAACACTGATATATTGAAAAATTCACTACAAACTGTTGACAAGAAGTGACATGAGTGGATCATTGTCCAATACAAATATAAAATTTTTTTTACTGCGTATCAGAGTTGGTAAAAAATATGTTTTAAACATGTTTTAAACAGTTTAAAATGCTTAATTGATGTTTTTAATATGTTTTAAATATATTTTTTATAATTTTTTTATAGTTTAAAGCATATTTCAAGCATTAAAAATATATTTAAGAAGAAACATAATATGTTTTATTCTTAAAAAAAAAAAAATTAGTCTTTATCAATCCTACTGCGTATGAAAGTTTCTCTGGCGTAGTACATAACATCTGCGCCGAATTTTCGTTCGCACCGCATCACATAGATATCTTGACAAGGAATTCGTCCACTCGTACTGTAACAAGTGAATGACTGATTTCTTCCCTTTTTAGATCCTGAAACAGTTCGTAAAAAGATCTAGTGAGGTAAATTTCGTCGATAATCTCTTCTTTTGCACTTTACTTACATCACAATGGGTAATATCAATTTACTCAAATCGATCACTTTGAATAGGACAGATAATTGGCAAAAACGAATTAACAGAAAAACATCATATCTTATCTTTTGTCATATTCTCTCTCTCTTCTTTTTTATATATTGGATTGTCCGGAAAGTTCGTGCCGATTGTGAAGGAAAATTGAAACGCAGAAGATTTAAATTTTAATATACATTTATTAATTTTAAATCTTTTGCGGCACGAATTTTCCGGACAACCCAATACATAATACAATGAAATACAAATGCGCATTACGCGCAAGCTTGTCTCTTGATATTATACAATGTCCGCCAAAAGTTTCGAACTGACTGAATATCCCGGAAAGTATGTAAGTTTTTGAGAAAAATGTTTTAGACAAAAATTGTAGGGTTTACAAAGATTTAATGATTTTATTAGTTTTATCATCTTGGATGGCATCGCCAATATTAGATCATATTAATTTCAAGGTCATATTAATTTCAAGGTCATATTAATTTTTTAAATTGGACACCTTATTTTTGATTCCAAAATCTAATAGCCGATATCAAAATATTTTCAAAATGCTATAATAAAATTAATTTTCATTAAATACTTTTCAGTAGATTATGATTTGAAAGTTACAATATTGCCACTGTTAGTACTGTTATTACCTAAGGTGTCCGAAGACTAAAACCTCTTGAATATTGTCCAGGATCATGTCCCGGATAATATTTGTTAAGATCATTAGAAATTATTTCTCTTATTTTCATTTTTACATAAAAATGAATTTTCAGTGCAAGAATGAAAAGTTCGCTGCGCCAACGTTACATAACATATCACCGAATTTGCCGATGCTTTTTCGCGACGTTTTTGATCGCGAAATTATTTGCGGTTATTAAAAAACGAAAAGATAAAAATTATTGAGGATATCCCACAAATCAAATTATTGGGGAGGAGAAGGGGAGTTGCAAAAATTGCTATGCTTCCCCTAAGTCAGTGCCTATGCTTATATATAATAAAAAACAAATGTACAAATACACAAATATACAGAAAATAAATCACGAAATCACAATTTTTAATCTTTGTGAGTTGTCAAAATTCTTGCACTGACAATGTATACTTTCGCAGTACGAAGTGAACAGTGAAATAAGAAGACTATCAACATCGCGAAAAAGTGGCAACAATAAATTCGATATACATACATACGAAATTTTTTTATAATAGGATATAGG